TCTGGACTTGATCCAGTAGGTCCATGTCCCATTTATGTTGAGGGTTCCAGAATGCAGTACTCAAAAATGTCATGGCTGTCTTGTGATTAAGGAATTATGTGTGCTTGTGATTAAGGAATTGTGTATGGTTCCACAATGACACTTATGAAGGGAGTTTTGAAAGACCACTTTCTACACTTTCAAATTCTTTAGTTTCCATTCATTCTAGTTAGACTTCTGGGTGCTATGATGTCATGAAATATTAGACTCTGTGGACTCAGGTGCTGTATTTGTTGTTAAAAAAAAAAAAAAAAAAGATGCATCCATCTCATAAAAATATTGGAGTTTATAGACTTTTGCCTTGAGCAACAACGGTGCATTTTGTGGGAATGTGGGAACTATGTGGGAAATGCAAGACGATCGAACCCTTAACTATTCATTTGCTTGTTTTGAAGAGCCTGGGTTTTGTAAATGATGTGGAAGAGAAGAGTGCTGCTGTCACTTAGCAACCCTGTCTGGTTCAGGAACAAAATGTTTCGCTGTTGGAATCTGTGCAGTGCTGCTACAAAACATTCCTGACTGAGCAGGAGTAGGGGCAGCTCTGTTCTGGAGATGTTTGGTGCAATCAAAGTTAAGTGTTCCTGTTGCTGCATTTGTGAGATGTATTCATGCTGGTATTTGTGACCATTAACATTTTTGTTGTGTACCTCATTGTTTGTCTGCTGTGACCCTTGGCCAAGTAAACATTTCCAAATTGTTTCAGTAAAGCAAAATTATGTTTTGCTTTAGTGGTACAAAGTAATTTTTGCCTTAAATGATTTGTGACACTGTACTTTTCAGTATCAGTCACATACAAACCTTCTGAGAGGTTACATTAGCATCCCTAGAGGAAAAGAAGCCAAACACTTCAATGTCTGAAGATTTCCTGATTTACTGCTTTTGAATGATGATGGCATTTGGTAATGTAGCTCTTAATGAATGAAAGCATGATGAGTGTAATTAGAATGTATCTTTCTTTTTAAAACACACTGGTTTTGCTGAGGTTAAAAATACTGTCAAGCAATCATATCTCTTGAATGCAAAATGAAATTGGCTCTGCTCCTCATCAACCTGTTAGTTAAGTCAGGAAGTTTATGGAAGGCAAGGTGGGTCCATGTTTCCAGCATAAAGTTGAGAATTCAGTTTTTCTATGTGCCTTTGATTGAATATGCTTTTCATTATACATATACAAGTCTTTTGTCAG